TTTGTGGAACTGTTGTAGCTTAAGGAATATGTTTTGGGCCTATCAACTGTATCTACTAAAAGATTTAATGCAATTTCTATGGTTTGGGCTAAACCAACTGCTGTATAGTTGCCTTCTGGAATTGTAATTTTACGATATGTTATACCTGCTATATCCCCTGGTGGTATAACCTGGTGTCTAAAATACAAATTGTTGTTGGTGCTGTTAAGGGAATACCACGAGTGTGGAATACTTACCTCATGTATTTGACATAGCATGTTGTCTTCTAATTGCACTGTCTCTGGAAGGTCAACAATAAAATTGCTACTTGTTCCAGATACCTTATAGGTGCTGTCTATGTATATTTTTTTTGAATTTCAACATATATATATATGTATATATATATATATATATATATATATTAACTTAGAAGTTAATATATCTAAATGTTCTAATTGCTTCGTGATATTGCAAAGCAATATCATTTGTGAATTTCAACATTATATTATTTATGAGAAAAAAATTATAACCTTATTTATATGATTAGTCGGAAGCACAATAGGGACAGAAACCCTTACGAAGCACCCAAGCGGAATCCAGTAACAAACAAAGTCTCGTGAGAATCCAGAAGGTGTTTACAGAAATGGCAGTATCTTATACATTGCTGGTACAAAATCATTACAAGACGTGTGGGACGATTTGAAGATACCGTTTCATGAAGCCAGTAGAGCTAAGCGCTACAAGGACGCTAAAAAGAATCTTGAAGACGAAGCTATAACCATAGATGGTAAAAAGGAATACGGAATTACTGACATCATAAGTCACAGTTTAGGCAGTGCTGTAAGTGCACAATTGAATCAAGAGCACGGGAATATTTTTAGGACTCGTTCTTATGGCGCACCGCATTGGTCAAAACAAAGCACCGAAGACTTCGGAACAAATCTTAGAATCAGAGCAAGGGTGACATCGTTAGTGCTTTTGACAATGCACCTATAACTGTAAAGAAGGGTTCAGTCAATCCGTTGTTCATTCATTCATTTGAAGGTGTTGCAGACGTTAAAAACAAAGCTGGTAATGAACCACTGACAACACAAGATTACTTGGAACAAATTTCTCACTTAAACTAATAATGTTTAAAACGAATCCTAAGCCGACTGTGTTTGAGTCTGACGACAAGAAGCCAAAAGCGAGGGAACTTAAACAGAACACATACAATAGTTATAGAAAGTTAATAGATGAAGGACAAAGTGTGGTAGAAGTAAGCGTGAATAAGAAGAAGGACAAGAAGAAGACAGAAAATGAAAACGATCTGTTCAAAAATATGTTTGATTAAATAATATAAAAATATGCAATCAAAAAAAGTTTTTCTGTATTATTTTACATTTACATAAGATGGAAACTTTTTCGCCTGAAGATGTTCTAATTGACAACCTTTCATTTAAATTAAATAAAGGAAATTCCTATTTCACTGATAGGAAAAGCACCACGTTCTGGAGCACTGGTTCTTACGTGTACAGACCCAGTTCTGGAAACCGAGTCTTAAAGTTCTCACTCAATGATGAAAACGGATGGCTTGACCCACAAAGTGTTATGATTTATTTCACTGTTCAGAACTTGGACACTACTTTATTCAGAAGATTACGCCCCATAAGTGGAAACCCTGCTGTTTTCTTCCGACGTGGTAGACTACTAGCTGGTTCTCAAGTATTGCAAGACTTTAACGATTTTGGACGCTTGAGTGAAATGTTTGACATGCCTTCAAATGAAAACGTAAAGGATAATATCACTGCCCAAGGTTTTGGTTACAGATATGACGATTATGAGCAGACACTGTGGTCTGAAGGTGTAACTGGTCAAACGTTTAATGAAATGAATGGGAAACCCGTTCCAGGCTTCTTTAACAAAATGACAGTTGGGTTCAAACCGATTTTTGGTCTCTTTAACAATAATTATAAGTATTTACCATTGAAGTATATGGGAAATCTAACTATTGAGCTTGAACTGGTCAATAATGAAACTGAATGTATCATTAACCCCGATGACAACGCAGGTACAACTTTCACTAATGTTATCCTCAAAAACGCTTCCTATTACGTATACAACTTTTGTGACTCAGTCTCAGTCTGTAACAGGTTTAACTGATATCAACGTTCAAGTTGTCCGTTCTGTGTCCAAACTCGTTGCTACCTTTATCTCTTTCTACAAATCAGGTGACGTAAGCGCAGGTTTTGAATATGCAGACAAGGAAGCTTTACGGTTCTACAACCCTATGACGCATTCTGTGGACAACCCTCATGGAATATATGACGCTGGTTTGGAAATGCAATATCAGTTACAAATTGGTGCTGACTTGTATCCCACGTATCCTTGCAATTCACTAAGCGAGTGCTTTTATCATTTAAGAAAAGGTATGAATTTACCTGTGTTCCACCAACATAGTATATCAATACAGTTTAAGGAATACAGAGACCGCAAGTTTGTCTCTGTTATAATTTTGAAAACGTACCAGACGCATCGTATATTGGAAAAATCTAAAATCACAGGGACAAATGTATGTGAAAATCCGACCAACTCGCAATATTGATGTTGGAAGAATGCCAGATAAGATATTTTTGTCACGAGGTTATCAGAGCAGATACTGGACATAGGTGACCTTGGAATTCGGATTTTCGATTAAAAAAGTGCAAAAATGCTTAAAGGTATGTCGCCCAAATGAGTAATGGAAAAGTACCAAAACGGGAAAATTTATTCAATCAGAAACACCGTAAACTCTGATGTCTACACAGGCTCAACAACAGTAGCGTTATGCAAGAGAATGGTTAAACATAGGTCATACGCAAAGCGGGGTCCCGATATATCGCCGTTTTACAAGTGTATGAACGAATTAGGTATAGAAAAGTTTTATATTGAGCTTGTTGAACACTTCCCCTGTAACTCAGTGGAAGAGTTGCGCAAACGAGAGGGCGAAATAACACGTGAACAAGGCACTCTAAACATCAGAGTTGAACAAAGCGATAAAACAGAATATGCCAGAAACTGGAGAGCAAATAACCCAGAGAAGGTAAAGGCAACAGAGAAAAAGTTCAGAGAAATGCATAGGGATAAAATAAACCAAGAAGCATTAGAATGATACCACAAAGACCCCAAGAAAGCATACGAACGAGCAAGGGGTGGAAATCAACCAAAATTCTTTGCGAGTGCGGTTTTGAATACACAAACTGTCACAAAGCAAGACACCTTAAAACAGCAAGACATCAAGCATATTTAAAACACCAAAAAGAAATTCAATCAAAAAGAAATTTAATTATACTAATAAAATACATTATCTATTATATTAATATAATGACACTCACATTCAATAACACAAACACATTAACAGCAGATAATATCATTGTCAGTGGAACTGAATTAAGTGACCTTTACGCAACAAAAACAGAACTTAACGACGTAAACAACACAGCAGAAGTCACAGCAAACGCTGACGCCATAGCAGTTTTAAGCACGAAGCAACTGCAGAACTTTAATAATATCAATGCTATTAAGGATGACTTCACTAACAATTATCAAACTAACACAATGTTAAGTAGCAATGTTTACAATAATTAAAACAGAAATAGACGCTACATTTGCTAATTATCACACATCAACACAAATAGACACAAATTTATCCACTAATTACCAGACTAATGCCCAATTAGGGGTTAATTATTATAATAAACGTGAGATTGAGATTGATACAAATTTATCAGCAAATTACCCGACTAACACACAATTAGGAAACAATTTTTATATTAAAACCGAGGTAGATGGATTACTAGGAGCAGGTGGTGGTTACACAGATACAGACATTGACAATTTACTAGACCTACGAGTTCCTAAATCAGATTTTACAAATAGATTTAGTGCCAATCCTATTATTGATTGTAGCGCTCCTACAGTTATTCATAGCGGTTTAACATTAAACAATTCAACCGTAAATATAAGTCCAGTAGCAGGATTATTATTCAGTAATCAAACAGGAGGAGGTGATAAAGTTTTAGCAGAGTTTAAAAACGCTACGAGTTATATAACTTTACAAGGTGATAAAATATTTTGTAATAATACATCCGACGATGCATTTAACTAATAATAACGCAGGTTTTAAAATGAGTGGTAAAATAGCAGTACCAACAGGCGGTTTAGTAGTAGAAAATACATCAGACGTTAATTTATCATTTACAGTTAGAAATACTGATAACTACATTGCTTTTAATAATGATAGTATTGATTGTTATAGTTCAGTTGGAGACATTGGAAGAATTTTGAATTTAAATAATAATGCTAGTCAATATGTTAAAACTAATTCATTATTATTAGATACAGCATCAAATACATTAACAGGAGGATGTTTATTAGATGTTGTTAATAGTGCTTTAATCAGAGAAAATTTACGAGTTGATGGCAATATAGATTTAACAAATAACACAGGAGATATTCAGTTACCAACAGCAGGGATAGATATGTTCAGAAATAGTGGAGATGCAAATTAGAATTTAAGAGTTAGAGACACACTGGGAGTTTGTGAATGTAGAAACAGAAATTTTAGGTGTCATCCAGCAAATGGAACAGAAATGATATTACACGACACAGGAGGCGATTATCGTTTAAGAATAGGAAGCACAACAACAGCAACAGTAGGAATAGGAAGACAATATTATTTTTCATATCATTTAACAGTAGGCGGTGTACGTAATTTTATCGAAACAAGAGTAGAAAACGATGCAACATTTTTAGGACAGCAGTTATTGAGCACTGATGCTCGTATTTTTCAACGTAGTGATGCTAATAATTTACTGAATGTAATATCAACAGAAGAAATTAATTTTAGTCTTCAAACTGATAGAACAACCGACCCTACTACTTCAACAATAGCACTTCAATTAAACGACACTAATGGAATTACATTAAATACAGCAGCTACAAATAATCTTACTTTTAATAGTATTGGTAATATAGCTGGTGAAAGTGATATTATTAGTTGGTTACACGCGCACCAGGCGCCTGGATAAATCGTGCATTGCACTAGGGGGGATGGGGGGGAGGGGGAAGGGGGGGGGCTAAGAACGAGCTGTGGCCTCGTATGCATCTACAGACCAGGATTTCAAGTTTCTTGTATGTCAGCTGCTCCTTGCGGCTCCGACCACTCATGTAGCCGGTGCCACTGAAGCCATGTACTTTTGCTGGCTGGTGGCCGCCCTCTCCGCAGTCATCCTCTTGCGCACGGCGCAGCAGGACCTTCCTGCCGAGTTGCGCTCTTTCCTTCGTTTTAGCATCGCTGATCTGGAGTCTCACTTTCACGCCGCTCGGATAGCGTCTGTATTGCTTTGCTACATGTTTATGTCTTTGGCCAAGTCGGTAGCTGCAGGTTTTCTGTGCTGCACACCCGGACTTCTCGGCTGAGAGAGCAATCCTTGTCACCATCTTCGGCGAGACCCGTGCTCATCTTCGGCTTCCATGGGAGACCTTGCAGACGTTAGGTCCGCAGTTGGGTGCTATGGCCTGCCTGGAGTTCCTCGTTGTGCTGTTATTTCAGCCTTGACGTTTTCTGGTTTGCAGAATTAGCCGATGTACTGATTCTTTTGTTCATGCAGCTTCAACAATAAAATCAGCCAGCGACTATAGCCTCGAAGCTCCCAAAACGGAATCAGCCCTCGAAACCCCGAATTAACCCCACCGGGTCTTTCAACAGCTCTACACCCAAAGCCCTAACCCCTCTATGCTCAATAAAGCTGGACTGGTGGCTTCGCTGGTGCAATGGCGACGCTCGGCAAGTTAGGAGGGTTTCAGGGAGCAATTCAACAGCTTCGGATTTCTTATATTGTATGAAGGGAATAGGATACTCTGCAAGCCTCGGGATGGTGAACACTCGCTCTCCGCTGTTTCGATTTTTGCCGTCCAGAACATGTGCACTCGGATCAAATGTCTCTGGAGTGTCCGGAGACCGCAGCTCCGAGCAGCCACTCTCCGAGAAACTCTTGACACATGACCCACGAAGTCTTCGCTCATTTCACACATAAACATTCCAGGGTTGAGGATGACCTGGACATCCTCGTTGGCCAACTGTTCTTGTATCCGGATGCTGAAGTGCTTGAGTTGGTGTAAAGTTGGTTCCAGGTGGAACCGGTTCAGTTGTCGCCTGAAGCATTCACCGGATAAAAACTTGTAGGAGGAGCAGAACAGGTCGATGGCGGAATGCAGGCGGAGAGCCACAGGCCTGCGCAACCAGATACCTTGTTTTTGCACCACTTGAAACAAAGTCAGGATTGCACAGCATCCATCATGAACAGCTTTGAGCAACGGTGCATGATCAGCTGCTTGCGGGTGCTGCAGCCATGGAAATGTCCTTGCACCGCCAGACCAGCGCCCATTTCGCAGCAGCATAATGATCCACCGGAGCACCATCAAGGTGTCGCTGCCCTTCCATCCACTCCACGGCCACGAATGAAAATTGCTGAAATGAAAGGTATCTTTAGTAAACCCTTTGCAATGTGGTGTCAAATGAAGTGATCTGCACCCTTGCCGGAAGTCTTCATACATTCGCGCCAACACGTCGGGAAAACTGTTCCGACCTGGTTCAAAAAAATAGGACCAGTGAGCTGCCAGAACCAAGAACGACCCGGAGAAATGTCTACCGATGCCCAGTTTGATCGTATGAAAGAGATCTGGTTGCAGCAGTTGCTCCGGCGCAGATGTTGCATACGGTATGGACCTTACGGAAGAGTACTGGTTGGGCTTCCATGGTCTGGACTGCCCAATTGTCGGCACCCAAACTGGGTCCTGCCCAACATCCTCCCAGGGTAGATCGGGACCTGAGGTTTGAGTAATCATGTGTGCTTTCCCGAGGCTTGCAAGAGTGGTTCGATACCAGGGCAATCCTGATAATATGTTATTTACATAAACTCCTTGGGGACTTGAGGCATATCTAAGGGTGTTCGGGCGATTTAGGGTTATGTAGGGCTTACGGTGTGGGTTTTCGGGGTATAAGTATGTCGCTAAACACAAATTAAGTAATTGAAAACTCAATATAGCTTTAACATCAGGGTGAAGTTATAACCCAATGCAATCTTCGTACTTCTAGCATCATATATATATATATATAGATATGTATAGTTATATCGGTAGATACATAGATAGGTAGATAGGTAGATGAATACAGAGGGCATAGAAATACTTGTACACACCCTAAAAGCCCAACAGACCCTCTTAACTACGTATAGACCATATATAAACCGAGAACAAATTAGAAAGAGTTTCCCAAACGATTCGAGCACAGTGGCTTGTTCCTGCTTCGCAATATGGGCATATGCCCTTGTGTTTCCCTTCAACAGACATGAAGGTTCGCCGCAGCTTGGCAGCTTTCGCTAGGAAAGGTGCGTCGCCTTTGAAGCCCACGCAAACGCCGTAGAACCGGCCCAGCCGGTGAGAAATACCGTCCTCGAAAAGTCGGATAGCAGCTCTGGCAACTTGGTCCATGCAGTCGTACCAAAAGTCCTTGTAGCTGACATCAGAGTCAGAGCGGTACAGGGCATGGGGGAGTGCATACAACAGAAGTCGCGACAGAAAGGAGGAGCCCTTCCCAGTATGCGTCATGAAATCCAACATTGTGTCTTCATCGATCTGCCCACCTTTTGCACGGTGCTCTTTATAATTCTTGTAAGTCGTCAAGCCAAACACCGTCTCCAGGCATACAATTTGTATGGGGCACTTCCTGAGGGATCTTCCCTCGTCCCCAAACAGCATGTACGGGATGCAGCGGGAGAGCTCGTTGGAATGCTGCCGGAACACCAAGTGGGTCGGTTGCTCGTACTCGTAGGCTTTCCAGAAGGCTTCCAGGAACAACGAGAAATGAGGATCCTCGAAAGAAAACCCTCCCAACAGAATGTCAGGCTTTGTATGAACCAGATATTCAAACCAAGAAGTGAGCTCCACCATCGGTTGGCACACACCACGACATGTGTACATACGTAGGGGTACGGGTACAGTCATTTTCCATTCCTTCGCCAACGCATGCAGCCTGTGCTCACCTTTCGGCAGATCCATCTTGCTAATAATCTTGATGCCTCCAAGGATTCCCGGTGCTTCCTTCTCGATGGCCTTGGCGAGGCGGACGATGCGAGCTGCTGGTGCCTGTGACGGGATTGGTTAAGGGCCTTAGGGGTATTGTAGGGTTTTCGGAATTACAGGGGTCAGGGTTTCACGATGGGAGTGGTTGAGGGCCTTAGTGGTATTGTAGGGTTTTCGGAATTACAGGGGTCAGGGTTTCACGATGGGAGTGGTTGAGGGCCTTAGTGGTATTGTAGGGTTTTCGGGGTTACAGGGATCACGGTTTCATGATTAAGGGTATTGTAGGGTTTTCGGGATTACAGGGGTCAGGGTTTCATGACGGGAACTGGTTGAGGGCCTTAGGGACATTGCGAGTTTTGGGGTAAGCAGATAGGGTTCGGGGCAGGGGCAGTAGCAGTAGCACTAGTAGTAGTAGTAGTAGTAGTAATAATAATAGTAGTAGTGGTCGTGGTAGCGGTAGTGTTAGTGGTAGCGGAAATAATAATAATTCTAGACTAGAAAAAAAGCAGCAGTTTCCAGGGCATGCACCCCCGCAGGGTCGATCTAGGACCCTAGTGGAGCTATGAAAAGTTTCGGGTTAGATGGGGGCTATAGGGTTGCTTGGGCTTCGAACAGGAGGACAACGACTCTGCACTTTTCGAGCTTTCATAGGTGGCTAGGGGTTCTGACAATAGACCACAAAGAAGATGATACCAAGGCCTATATAGGGGCCTGTAGGGGGATTTAAACATAATAGATTCATCCGTTTGGAGTTTCAGTACACGGGACTGATCAGGCCAGGTAACTCCAGTGCCCAGCGCATGCACCAGCTCTCGCGCAGTAGGCCCCGGACCTGCGCGAGGGGCATATCTCCATCCATGATCATTACACTGAAAGGTCGGACTTTACAGTTCGCTCTGGCACAGCTTGAACATATTGGATCTTTGTTCACCGACAGCAGCACTGAACGATCATGTCGCGATGACAGATGCGACATTGTTCCCAATCGGAACACTAGTGATTGAAAGGCTGATCTAGCACATCAGGGGTTGCCCGCTACACTGGTTTATCTTCTGAAGCCCAAAAGCGGCCCTGGCTTTAAGTGTTTCCCATGGCAACCCTACACATGCGCCCACAAAGCCTCGCCCGTGCCATAAACAAAATTCGGGCTGCAAGCACAAAAGATCCTAGGCGGCCGGCTGCTTGCCGGTCTTGCGCCCTGCTGGCTGCTCGGCAGACGGCTTGGCTTTCGCAGTCGGGTTGACCGGTGCGACAGCTTTCTTAGGAGCTGCAGCTTTGGCCTTTGTTTCAGCACGGCGCTTCGGGATCACAGTTTTTGCCCTGCTCTCAAGAGCCATCGTTTCCATCGCCCTGAGCTTCACACATGTAGTACAAACTGCATTGCAACAAGTCTCCTGGTGGCCAGCATACAGCAAAGTAGCAGCTTTCTCAACACCTTGTATTGGGCAACGAGTTCATTGTCTTGCCTTGGATCCGGAGATTGAATGTTCTTTTGACTCGAGGCTCATGCAAACATGACTACACTAACCGTGCAAGCGGAGGGCAACTTCGTGTATCCCTCAACAGCTCCGGTGCAGTAGATGTCTTGCATCTTGTCCTGGCAATCATCCAAGGCTTTGCTGGCCGCCTCGAGCTTTTCGAGCAGCCTCGGCATCTAGGGAGGGTCCGGGGCTCACAGGATTTATGGGATCATTCAGGGTTAGTACGGGCCGGGATCTTATTAGGTTAGTTTCAGGGTTTATCGGGGCTGGGATCTTATGATGTTGTTTTTATGCCTTGCAAGCCCTAATGTACGAAGCACTAGATTCACTAGATGTATACCTCTGACCATGACCGGGTCCTGCAAAGGCTTTGGGGACTTGATAAGATACCTTTCCGAACATAAGTAACACAACCCGACCCAGCTATATTCTATTCAAGTAACCTCTACCGGTATATATATTTATATATGTATATATTTATATATTTGTGTGTATGCATATGTTGGCACCCATAAGCTTAAATGAGATCACAGCCAAGCTCCAACAGGAAAGATAGCACCCGACCCTTACAAAGCTTATATATACCAGGTAGCCATACCACCAGGAAAACGGTGAATTGCAAGGCCATAAATCAAACCTCGCAGAGCCCTGAACATCTGTTCGAATCCGAGAACCTAGTAGATGTGTTGTAGTTAACGTGTTTGCAAACGAGCGTCTTTCTGCAGGCTTCCGTGCGCTCAGCTAGCGGAACAGCATACATCTTACCCAGGGTATCCCCTAGCTTCGCAGCTCTGCCAAGAGCTGCCTTCATGTAAGTGCCGATCACTTCGGAGGCCCTTTTCCCACCCTCCAGGCTCGGAAGCTGTAGCTGACCCTCGGTCGAAACATCAGCATCGCCCGGAAGGCCTGGACCTCCTCGGCCCAAAGCGAAGCAACACATGCAAAACCGAAGACATCACAGTTGAAAGCACTGTTAACTGACATTGCAACTTGCATCATAGCCTAATCGAAGTCTCCACTGCCCGAAGCAGCCGCACCCATTGAAACATCAGCCACATCGTTCAAGCTGACGTCCGTGCCGAGGACCACTGAACCATCTTCGCCCTGCTCTGCTTCCATGTTGAAGGATACCTGGTCCCTGGTTCTCAATAGGGAGGAAGCTCGCATGGATGCATGGGCACGCTCTTCATACCAATAAGTGACCATCTTGGGATTGTATGTATCCTTCCTGATTTCCGATTTGGAAGATTTCGACACTGCCACACATGTTTAAGCATGCAGTCGTAATGACAGTTGCTGCTAAGTTGCCTCATCAGAGCAGGGTTCTGGCGGGCGAAAGCTTTGATGTCGGCGATGCGCTCCCTGTACAGGCAGCATGCAGTAGCACTTTGCATTCCGTTTCCAGACACATAATCTGAAACCATGCTAGAATTATGGCTAGATGCGGTGACAGTTTCTTCTCCTCTGCGAGCTGGGACTCAGTGTAGAAGTCTCCCTCCACAACGACACTGAGTTCCTTTTCCCGCTCGTTCTGAACAGTGATCTCCCGAACGAACGACTCCTACGAGTTGCTAGCAAATCGCACCTACACCACACGGCGGTGAACCTTTGGATATTTTTATACTTAGCACTAATTGGAGCAGTCATCCCTCTATATATAGTAAAATTAAATAAGACCACATAACTTTAAAAAACCACCCCAGCCCAGACCTACCTTTGTCCCAACCGGAGGATACTTCACAGGTTTCGGTATTCATAAGGCCTCGGGTTTAGAAGGGCTTTTACATTGCCGCGGGTTTTGGGTTTATAGGGGTGTAGGGTTTTAGGGATTTATAAAAGGCTCAGGATGTATCGGGTTCATGCATAGGATTCCTTGTTGCATCCGGCATCCATAAACGCCCGCACCAAGTTTTCTCGTGCCTTCCCCTGTCGATTCCAAGTATCGACGATGTGTTGGGGAACACCATAAGAGCCATCCGCCCTCATCTTAACCATGCGCCTCACTCGCTGACGAGCAGCTTCAAACGAAGTTGCCCCTGATGCCCCGCCTTCGCCCTGCGACGAGGGCTCCTCCCCTTTCACCTCAGATCCTACATCCGAGGCGGCTCGGCTGCTGTTGGCTCGCTCCTCTCGCAGCTTTGCGATTTCAGAGGCTTGCTGCTGCAGGAGGGTTTGCAATTGCTCGTTCTGCCTTGACTGATCACTCAGCTGCTTTTGCAATGCTTGAACCATTTGGTTCATCATACCGGCCATGTCATCCGGAGCTGTCATGACAGAACCCGTGTCCGGCTTGGGGAAAGCAGGGGCCTTAGCAGCACAGATTGGGGATGCATCAACCATGGTTGGCGCAAAGATTGATGGCGTAGGACACTGGTCTGCAGGACGAGGGCTGCTGGCAGGGGCTTTCTTGGGTGTGGGCTCGGCAGGGATGCTGGGGGCTTTCTCGGGTGTGATCACCATATCCCGAAGATGCTGCACCAGCGGATCCTACAGGGTTTACAGAGTACAGATCGGTGGTTCAGTCGTGATGTGAGCCTACACATGTTTGGGAGCATACACATACCCTTAGCAGTAACATACCCACCCACGCACCTCATCATCATCACAGATGTACGGGTCAAGGTAGATCGGGGCTTCGTAGGCAGGCACCTGTGCATCATCTCCTGTATCCTCCAACACCTGCATGAGATTCGTTGGCTTCACAGCACTGTGCGGGGTTCCTCGATCCACGGCTTTTCTAGCTCGGGGAACAGCAGAGCGCGGGGTTGCATCGAGAGGGTTTGCAGAGTGCGGAGTCGCGGCCGCCCGTTTCAGGCCCGCTGCCGCTGCCGGCTGTTCACCTGGGCTCTCCATCATCTGCTTCTCGATGGCTGCTTCCAGCTCCTTCGCCGTGAGGGTTGCTCGGATGCCCGTCAACTTATTGGTTGTAGACGTGTGTAGGACCCGGTCGCAAGCTTTTTGCAGTAGCAACAGCAGCAGCAGCAGCAGCAGCAGCAGCAGCAGGGGGTGGTGTTGCTTGTCTAGCAGCAGCAGTAGGAGCGGTAGCATTAGCAGTAGCAGCACCAGTAGTCGTAGTGGTAGTAGTGGTAGTAGAACTGGTAGTAGCAGTAGTACTAGTCGCAGTAGTAGTAGTAGTAGTAGTAGTAGTAGTAGTAGTAGTAGTAGTAGTAGTAGTAGTAGTAGTAGTAGTAGTAGTAGTAGTATGGTACTTGTAATAGTAGCGGTAGTAGTAGTAGCAGTAGTAGTAGTAGTAGTAGTCGTAGTCGCAGTCGTAGTCCTAGTAGTAGTAGTAGTAGTAGTAGTAGTAGTAGTAGTAGTAGTAGTAGGAGTAATAGTAGTAAAACTAGAAATAACTAGCATTATTGATAGTGGTAGTCCTAGTACTAATTACACAATGATACTAGTAGTAGTACTACCATCGCATAAGTAGCAGCTGTCGTAATAATCGTAATAATAACAATAATACTAATAGTACTACTACCACTACTACTACTACTACTACTACTACTACTACCACTACTACTACTACTACTACTACTACTACTACTACTACTACTACTACTACTACTACTACTACTACTACTAAAGCATCAACACGGTTTGAGACAAAATTGGAGCCTCTCTTTTTCTGTTGTTTGTAAAATAGAAAAAAGAGGGGCTCCAATTTTGTCTCAAACCGTGTTGATGTTTTAGTAGTAGTAGTAGTAGTAGTAGTAGTAGTAGTAGTAGTAGTAGTAGTAGTAGTAGTAGTAGTAGTAGTAGTAGTATAGTAGGGTGCTATACTGATTGTACCAATCCTAGTCCTAGCTCTGTACCAGAAATAGTATTGTATTGGCAGTAGTTCGTAGCGTTACTGGAACCAACCCGTCCTGAATCTCACGGAGCTCAGCCAGCTCCTGAGCCTCTTCATCCTTGCAGCCCTGAAAGGCCAAGGTTTTCAGGCCAGCTCCAAGAGTATCTGAGGACCACTGCTGGCTTTGAAGACTCTGCGACATGTCAAGCTACACACCGTCTGGCGAAGCTTTGCCTAGGAAGGCACTCGATAGAAAAAACGCCTCAAGCACCAGAGAGCTATAGCCTTCCCGACAGCACACAGGAATTGTGGTGACAAGCGATCCAACATTAGAGGTATACACGGAGCAGGGGAAGTCTTTCTGCTTATGTTATGGAGGGTTTACGGGTTTTGTAGGGTGTCAGGAATCTTGATAATTCATCGGGTTTCCTTTGTGCACAACGAGCACAACATCCTCACCCGCTGCACGTCGAGCTAATTATAGCTTCTGCACATATTGGGCACAAAAGCAGGAAGTGCATTGACCTCGAAGATATACTACACAACAAATCACATCTAGTTGATTTAGAGAACAACAGTTTTGTTGCGGATGCCACCCTGCTGCCCGGCTTGCAGGTCGGTCGCTGCGGACATGCACCACAGCTCGAATTGGAAACTTGGGAGAGCTCGGCCTCTAAGATAGCCCATGGTGCTATGTTAGAAATACTCGGACCTCCCTAAGCACACTCACATATACATACATCATGCATACATGCACTACACATGTCTACATGTCTATATATGTGCGTATCTATGCATGTATCCACCCCCACGTACATGCATACATGTATGTGGGTATACGTAGGACGTAGGTAGGTAACCTAAGGTAGGTAAAGTAAGGTAGGTAGGTTACTAGGTAAGGGATAGTAAGGGTACGACGGTATCTGATATATATATATATATATATTGATAAGATCGATGCTTCCATCAGCAGGTTTGGTCGACCATCGTGAGATTTGGGACACCCATGCTGTTACAACATTAGTCATGTAAATCATAAGCATCGTGATGTTACGGGGATACTTTGGGCTGATAGAGGGGGTTAGAAATGCGGATTTTCCACCCATAACCCCCCCCACCCACCACCCACCCCCCACACAGACCGCCCCAAAGCGCCCCCGACCATGTTCCAGGGTACGCCCGCGTACGCCCGGGTACGCCGCGTACGGCCGACCAAACCCTATCGGATAAATACGCCTTTGGGTTGGATAAATACGCCTTTGGGTCGGGTACGCCCTGTACGCCCCTGTACGCTCTGCCTCCGCCCCGCACGCACCATTCCCGCAGCACCCAGGCACATGACGCAGAGAATGCCACTATAGCGCCCAACCATCCACACGAGGGGCCTATATACAATCTTGCACGCGCATATCTACACAGCCTGGGTTGCATACAACGATACCTGCAATGTGAATGTGCCCTGCGCAGCAATCTGTCTTAGGTACTGTGGAAGCTGCCAGATCTCCTTGGTGACACACACCTCAAAGACACTTAGGTATGATGTCTCTCCAGGACTCAGGCACTTTAACAGACCTGCATCCGAAAACATACCGAATGGCAAAAGTGACATCGGCATCGGCCCACTTATCCCGGTACGTGAGCTTCTTGAAAGCTGCCTTGAGGTCGAGATCGTAGGATACCTGTGCAGGAAGGAAGGATTGTTGGGTATGATTCGGGCTCATAGTTACGACATCAGTGTCCTGCAACTAGCAGCCTCGATGGTAGATCGTGAAGTAGGTGCAATCAGCTGTGGCCGTAGATCAATGATTTTCTTCGCAAAGCGGAAGGTATAAGTCCTTTGTTCGTCTAACAGAAGACCAGTCAACACCGAACCCCAGACACCCTAGACTAGATCGAAAACCTAAGTTCGGCTAAGGCTCTGGGTCTGTTTCAAGTGTTTGTTGGCCTTCCATTTCTTCTTTCCGTCAGAAACCCAACGATCAACAGTCTTTACAGCTGCTGCGTTCATCTCGGAACGGCTGAGTGATCCCAGGTCCAGCCGGCTGATGATGTGGCTGTTGGACCACACCTTCGTGCGCTTCGGAGTCCTGCTTTTATATTTCATCATCCAGAAGCCCTGCCTCCAAACCTAAGTTGTGCACAACTAGGAATGGTCTACAGTAGCACAATTGTAACAGGGAGCCATTCGATCAAGCTTAGTGGCTTTGATTGTTCGGAGCCAGTTCTCGATCATCTCTTTCAAACGCACGTGTTCAAACAGCATCGACTGCGACGGTTGCTCAACCAGCCACGCTCCCCCAATCGCTGTGCAAAGCATAAGCAATAGGGCGACCCTACAGGGCTAAACACCTCTAGCCTGTGAACTCTCTCGACCCGAGAACCCATATCTATACACGATGTCCTGAACCATTGAACCGTGCAGAATCCCCAAACTACCGCACAATAATTGTGGCTCTAGGGGATATATATAGATGGGGTTTATAAAGATCCCTGGAGTGCCTCGAGCCGATCACGTTTGCCTGGCGAACTTTCGTATGTCCATCAAACCCCATCGGAGTTAGGAAGGACCGTCCAGTAGACCCTCTGGAGGTAATCACCCACGAGGAGCAGCATACCCCCCATATACTCAGAAGACCATCCAGCTTCCCACGTAGACAAGCCATGATTGCCAACCTAAGGATTTGCATGGTGTTAAAGGCAAGCAAAATCAGAACCATCTAGAACACCTGATTGTAATCTAGTGCAAGTAAGAAACGCAAAGCCCGACGGGGTTGTCAGGTCCATGGCCCCAGGGCGATTGGTCACCCGATCAAAAGTAATATCCAGGGCCACTGCTCTGAGGTCGTGCATCCGAGCGACTCTAGCAATCATAGAGACACCTGCAAAAAACTCGATGACATCATATTCGTAGTTGTCGAGCTTTGATTTGGCGTGCCAACTCACGAGGAAGACCAGTAGGATGAAGGTCTTAGGTCATTCATGCCACAACAACTACGGACAGCACACTGAAGCAGATGATCCTACCATTCAGCCAAAGATCCTTGGGTGCCTCCAAAGCAATCAACCTCCGAATCACAGTTTCCATCTCAGAGGAGCGGACCATGATTGGGCCGTGGCAGCAAAGCTATGGGAAATTCTGCATTGGTAACTGATGCAAGACCATGGTAGCACTGCGACTGCGGGCAATTTACACTGCACATGCACCTGCAATCTACGATGCGGTGTTCGGGCACATGTAGCAGTAGCACCTGCCTCCTGATTGTGAGCGCATGCACATGCAAGCTTTCATCCCAAACTAGACTGCCATTAGAAGCACACCGACTCATACCCAACCCCACAAACCTGAATCCCTAAACACCCTAAATACCCGGGTCCTATGAACCCCACCAACCACAAATTAGACCTACAAGAAGAGCTTAAATCTAAAACCCTAAAACCTATGAGGAGTCCTCCGAGGAGTTCGAACGGTGTCAGTTTTTATCCTACAGGACAAACACTGTCGGTGGGTTTGGTGGTTGGGGTATCTCGTTGGGCTGGAGTAGCTGTAGCAGGGTTGTCGGATGTGTGAGAAGCGCTAAAGAGCTCAACGTTGCCAGCTGCATGAATAGACTATGACATATGGTTACTATCAGGATTGCTACAACGACGACTCCTATGTTACCTACTAGTACTACTACGAGTACTACTCCCACCGCCACTACTACTACTACTACTACTACTACTACTACTACTACTACTACTAAATACTACTACTACTACTACTACTACGACTATTTCCTTTTCATTTGCCCCCGGGTTGTCTCACCATCAACCCTCCCTGTAGGGGGCAAACGAAAAAGAAAAACATACCACGACGACTACCACTACTACTACTACTACTGCTACTACTACGACTATTGCTACTACTATTTCCTTTTCATTTGCCCCCGGGTTGTCTCACCATCAACCCTCCCTGTAGAGGGCAAACGAAAAGGAAAACATACCAGTACTAGTACTAGTACTAGTACTAGTACTACTAGTACTAGTACTAGTACTACTAGTACTACTAGTACTACTAGTACTACTAATACTACTAGTACTACTAGTACTACTAGTACTACTAGTACTACTAGTACTACTAGTACTACTAGTACTACTAGTACTACTAGTACTACTACTACTACTACTACTACTACTACTACTACTACTACTACTGCTACTACTACTACTACTAGTACTACTACTACTACTACTACTACTACTACTACTACTACTACTACTACTACTACTACTACTACTTCTACTGCTACTATTATTATTGTTACCACAACTAGTAAAGTACTGGTACTGGTACTATAGTGCTAGTACTCGTCTAGTACTAGTAATAATACTAGTACCTGTTCTACTACGAATACCAATACTAAGACTATAGTACACGTATTTGTATTACTAGTACTAGTACTAGTAGTACTACTACTACTGCTGCTACTGCTCCTGCTACCGGAGTTGATGGTTTCAGGAATGTGATTGAGCCCGGTGTTATTCGGTGGAAGGTTTATTGGGGCGGGGCGGGTTGAGGGTACACGACTATTCCCCTTTATCATTATTGTATACTACTGGGCGTATAGTATTTCTGCCACCTCAACTACATCCCTATAGCCCTCTAAGTACAACCTTGCACTACTCAGTTAGCTAACCCAATCCCAAGCCGAGGAATGCCGGGCGGAGGGCACACCTGCTGTTTGGCCAGTGCCGAACTTCGCATCGTGGACCATCGCACCTTGGGGCTCGAAGGTATAGGGTTTCATGGGTGTGCTTAGATAGCTTTGCTTCATGAAGGTTGCTGTAGCGATAACGACACTGCGGGTTCGCGGGGGTTCTACAGTTAATTGGTCTGGGTGGTACTTAAGCACATGGCGCCTACCCGGATTGAACTCATGTATGCTCGGCATCCAGTGCATGCAAACTCACAGGAGTGCAATTGTTTCACACATCGGATCAAATCTCGTGTGGCGCTTAAAGACCTTGAAAGTATGCAGTGAACCCATCAAGCATAGGGGCCAAAACGCATTCGTCTTCTGCACAAATCCTGTGGTAGTCAGTGTATTCTTACGACGTTTGCTTTATTAGAAGGCCCTCTACACCTGATTGACACCCCTTCGAGTCAAACTGGCGACTCTAATCATCGGCCCGCACAAGGTAGCCGTCACAACAACTCCAAGT